CTCCAAGGTCTCGCCGGCCCTTGTCCGCGCCCGCGTCCCCGCCGCCGAGCCGCGCGACTTTTACGTCCGGCCCCAGTCGCGCGTCGTGCCCAGCGGCAACCGCGAGCGCACCGAGGCCTCGAACCGCTCGCGTCGCGTCCAGAACAAGATCCGTAATCTGGTCCAGTCGGAGCGCGGCTCGCACCACAACTCGAAATTGAAGTAGTAGGTGTCCACGATCCCTCACCCCATCCCCAGGCTCAAGCAGAGCTCTGTCTTCTGACCAGGCCCAAGCGCCATCCTGTTGACGCTGCCGCTCCCCATGATCACCCCATCCTCCCCCTCCTCTCCACCCCCCCACTCTTCCCCCCCCCCCCTCCCCCACCCCCGACATGGCGTCAGCCAGCAAGGCCACCGAGACAGACAACACAGCTTACTGGGCGACGTACCCCTGGCCACGGTCGTCAGACGAGGCACCATGGCTGGGACGCGGCGGCGGGAGCGGGGAAGCAGCGGCACTGGCCGGAAGGCTGCTGGCGGGCGTCCCGCTGGAGCCTCGGCAAGGAGCGCAGAGCCGCGATCTGGTGACGGTGACCAACCATGGCTTCATCGCAGAGCTGCCGGTAGAGGAGCTGGCACGGAGTCAGGCCGAGCGCGACATGGAGGACATGGCTCAGCTCAAGGGGACCCGGGCCCATCGGGTGGTCCGGACTCAGGTCGGTCATCTCGACGTCGAGGGCGAGTTTGATGGCTACGTCACCACGGGCTTCACCTCCATTCCCGTCGCTGCCGTCAGCGATGAACGCCCCTGGCGGAAGATCAGCTCGTCCATGCAGTACGAGGCAAAGGCAAAGTGGGGCCAGCGTAGTGCGAAGCTTGCTCTTCGCGCTGCTCAGCTCGAGTACTCGGCCCTCGTCTCGCGGAAGACCCACGACGTCGTCGTCCCGCGCTCCATCGCCCTCAGTCAGGGCTTCAACAACCCAGCTGCAGACACCGATGCTGCAAAGCCGCTTCCCTCATCGAGCGGTGACGACGACGACGACGACGACGAGTCTGCCATCGCAAAGCCCACACTCTCCGAGATCGCCGCCCTCCAGCCGCAGCTCGACGACGAGACCATGTTCTGGTGCGAGTATCGTCAAGCTGCAGAGTCCAAGCACCTCGCTGCTGAGCTGCTTGACAACGACGACGACGACGACGCTGGCCAGTTTGGCTCCATCGTCTTCCAAGGCACCGCCATGTCGCACTCGTCCAACATCGACCTCACTCGCATAGTCGCCGGCAACGATGACGGCCAGGGCCGCGTCGACTACGACGCCATCTTTGGTGACGATGATCTCCCTTTAGATGCTGCAAAGTTGGCAGACCATCCCACAGCTTTCAAAAACGTCCATGATGGCGTCCAGGCCCGCCCCTCGCTCGCCGCACAGAGCAACATGCTGATCAGCTACGCCGAGCCCACACCGCGCCTCGCCTCCACCATTGCTGTCGCCCGCGATCCACGCGCTGGCTCGGCCGCCGCCTACATTTCCCGCGTCGACCCGTTTGCCCTCCACGAGTTCCGCCTCACCCGCGCCGCACGAGATCCCGCTCCTCACTCGCCACCGTCTGCCCTCGGCTACGAGGAGCGGACCTGGGCCGCCTCGCCCTCTGGCAGTGCCACCGTCGCCTGGCCATCGTCGTCGCCGCTCGAGCGCGCATACTACCTCGCCCATCGCGCGCTTTCCTGCGAGACTCCGGTCCGGCTTGCCGTCTCGCCCGCCGACGTCGGCATCGTCCGCGACGGTGCGGTCAGCCTCCTCGCTGCGCCGGCCTTTGACCGTGCCCGCCTCGCCTACGTCGACGCTGCCGTCTTTGGCCAGGCATCATGGTCCGACGGCGGCTTTGCCGTCCTCGACTCGGCCGGCCAGATTCATCTCGGCCTCCGAGACGCGCTCTACGACCACAAGGTCGACCTGCCAGACTCTGCCTGCTCCAGCTTTGACTCGCGCCTTCACCTCGCGCCCGTCGACACCTCGGGCATGTTGATGCTCCATGCCTCGGGCCGCGGCGGCCGCCACATCCGCCTAGTTGACCTCCGCCAGCGCTCCACCGGCCGATCTATTTTCTTCTCGCTGGCAGAGTCGCACTCCTTCGGCCACTCGAGCGCCATGCTTCCGCGGACCACCCTCCACTCAGGCCGCTACGAGGTGCTCGGCATTCACCCTGCCGCCCCACACCTCCCGCATGCTGCAGTCGTCGCCACCTCGCAATCGATCCACCTTTACGACGTCCGCATGCCTCGCGAGCCGCTTCTTGCCCACTTTTACCACACTCTCGAGGCCACCCGCATCATTCCGCACCTCTCCGCCGCCGCTTCGCTGCGGGTGCCCGCCGTCGATGGCGGCGTCACCGCGGTCGTCACCGGCCACCAGTCCTCGAGCAACCTCATCTGCTACCCCATCGCCTCCAACACCGGCGCGTGGACGCCCGCCGGCCTCTCCGTTCCCTCGCTCTCCACCCCGACCGCCGGCCGCGGCGCCACCGCCGTCGCTCTTGCCCCGTCGCCACTCCGCATGCCCGGTCCAGCCGACGTCATCCCGCCCTCGGTCGCCCGCATCCAGCCCGTCTCGACCAAGCTCGCCGGCCTCGACATCGCCGCCGTCAGCGACGACGAGCTACTCGCCGTCTCCGCCACCTGGTCCGGCCGCGTCTTCTACTCCATCTTTTCCGCCTCGTCGCTCGCTGCTGAGTCTGATGGCGACATCTGGCACGGCCCATCGTCGCTCGTTCGCCACGAGGCGCTATACAAGGCGCACGCCGCCCCGGCCGCTGCCGCCCAGTCCTTCTCTCCGCATCTCTCCCACATCTCCATCTCCAACCCTGCCGGCCTCGCCTCCTCGCTCCGCCCGCCGCGGACCGACAAGCCTCCACCAGCATCGTCCAACATCTTCTTTGACACTCAACTTCCTCTCGCCAAGGACGTGGTCTTTGCCTCGCACGTCCCGGGTGACATCGAGCCGTTTGTCGAGCCCTCTGCGCTCGTCTCCTTCCGCTCCGAGCGCCGCGAGACCGATCCGATCCGCCCTCTCACGTGGCCATTTATCTACCAGATGCGCCACCCCGATGTCCGCCCGCCGGCTCGCACCAGGGTCCGCACCAGACTGCGAACGCACGCCTTGCTGTGGATGCTGATGCCGCCGACCCGAGCCTCATGGCGTGCCTCCCGCGCCGTCCTCGCCTCCGCCGCCGCCGCCAAGGCACCGCTCCTCACCTGCCGCCACACCGGCTGCAAGTACGCCGTCGACGCAGCCTTCTCGCCGCACCCGGCCCGCATCCTTGCCTTTCACGAGCATTGCCCGTACCTCCATCCCGATGCTGCTGCCGCCGCGGGTGTCTCGAGCGTCGCATGGGCCTGGTGGCGCCCGCTCGATCTCGCCTCGCTCCTCGCTTCGCACCCGACCCTGGCCGACAAGGCCATAGCGTTCTGCACCGGCCGCTGGCGCTCTCTTGCCTCTATGCGTCTCCGCCTCGCAATGTTTGTCATCCGAGACGGCTCGCTCCACCTTGCCCGCCACCGCCTCATCGCCATCCTCCCGCGCCCGCTCCTAGACACAGTTTACGGCATCGACAGCACCGAGCTGCTCTCCACCATCCACATGCTCGGCCGCCGTGCCGGTGTCGTCGTAGAGGAGCAGTTGCGCTTCCAGCACGCGTGCATGTCGTCGGCCGGGGCTGCTGCCCTGCTCAACGTTCATCCGCGCCGCGACGCCCTCATCTACGTCCGCGTCGCCGTTCCCGACAAGCCGGTCCGTGCCGACGCCGACCCCGTCGCCTCGTATGGTCTTGCCGACAATCTGCGTGCCATCTGGGACAATGATCTCGAGGACAGGCTGTACGAGAGCCAGGCCCGCACGCGCAAGGTCACTGCAGTCGTCGACGAGGGGCCCAGCCAGCTCGAGGTCCACAGCCAGGCCAAAGAGCGCGCCATGGATCTACTCTCGGGCTTCCTGCCCTCACCCCTTCGCCCGCGCAAGAAGCGCAAGAGGCGCCATCCGGCCTCGGCCTCGCAGGCATCGGCCTCGCAAGCCTCTCAGGTCTCGCAAGCCTCTCAGGCCTCGCAGGCCTCTCAGGCATCCCAGGCCTCTCAGGCCTCTCAGGCCTCTCAAGACTCGCAGGCCTCGCAGCCACTCTTTGGTCAGCATCGCGGCCCGCCGCCGAGCCCAATGGCTCTCTCGCCGGTCCGCCGCCGGTCGCAGCCTTCGTCGGCGACAAGCTCGCCCATGCGCGCACGCCTCAGCCAGTCCTCTGCTCAGCGGACGGCGACCAAGAAGCGCGGCAAGCGCGGCAAGCGCGGCAGGCGCCGCAGGGGACAAAGTCAGCCTGGGTTCATGTGACGCCATGGAGAGCTCGACCATAAACACCACCTTTACTCTGCCTAGCGCTTCTTCTTGCGGAGCTTCTTCCACTTAAGGGCGGCGGCCACCACGGTGACGGCGGTCTTCATCGACTTGATCGACGCCGACTGCGAGGCCGAGATGCACTGAGAGACGGCGTTGGAGAGGTTCTGCGCGCAGACAATGAGCGAGTGCAGCGCCTCGGGGTCCGGGCGGTCGCCGGCGAGGGCCGAGGCCTGGACAGTCGACATGATCTTGAGCTGCACGCCGATGGTGGGCAGCATCTCCATGACAACTTCGAGGTCGCGCTTGAGCCGCGGGTCGCCGCACGTCTTGTGGACCTCGGCGGCCATGGTGTGGATCTTGGCGCAGAGCTTGTTGATGGCGCGCGCAGCCTCGATGAGGCCCTTCTTGTCGCCAGCCTTCTGCGCCTCGGCCATGGCGGCCATGAGGTCGCCGATCTGCTGCGCGAGTGCCACCATCTCGTTCTCGGACGCATCCCACTTGTTGGCCGACCGCGAAACCTGCTGTGCCGCCGCCATCAGCGGGTCCTGCGAGAGCTCCTCCTCCTCCTCCTCGGGCGCAAGCGGGTCCGGCAGCGGCTCCTGTCCGCGCAGAATCCGCGCCACGTTGTTGGCGTTGTGCTTGATGAGGTGAGTCGCGTCCGCCAGCTCGTCCTGCGCGTCCTCGTCACCGGGCGCTGCCGCTGCTCGCGACGCCACCAGCTTGAGCTCGCCCAGCTGCTCCTTGATCGTCTCCAGCGCGTCGTTGTAGTCGTCCTTGGCGTCCTGCGATGCGAGGCTCGACTCCAGGCTAGCGGCAGCCTCGAGCAGCTGCCCGTAGTCCTTTTCGGCCTGCTTGCGCCGCGCAAGCGCCTGCTGTGAGTCGCCGGCACCCGCCGCTGTCTCGAGCGCATCGAGGTTGGTCGCGCCTGAGCTGACAAGCGTGGCCACAATCTCCTGCGCGTCGAGCTTTCCCTTGAGCCCGTCGTCGATCGACGCCACCGTGCCCTGCAGCTCGCGAATGGACGTGTCCAACGTCTCGGCCTTGTCGGCCGACTCTGGATCGGCTGCGGTTGCGTTGGCTGCCGCCGTCACCGCCGCCATCTGCGGGCGGATGTGCGCGGCCTTGGCCGCCACAATTGACGCCGCCAGCGGATCGTCCAGCGCGCCAGCCTGGGCCTCGACCAGCGCCGCGAGGCTGTCATACTTCTCCTCGCCCTGCGCCGTGAGCACCTTGGTCAGCTGGACCTTGCCGGCTGTCGCCGCCGCCTTGATGTCGTCGAGCAGCGCGTCGGTCTCGCCCATGAGCGTCTCGATGAGGGCTGCCCGCGCCGCCACGGCCTCGGGCGAGTTGTCGCCTGACGTTGCCAGGTACGCCGCGGTCATGACCGCACCGCCAGCTGCTGCCGCCGCCACTGCGCCGGTTCCGTCGTCGCCGAGCACGCTGGATATCTTCTCCTTCTCCGCCGCAATCGACGCCACCATGGCCTCGAACGCGTCCATGGCGTGGATGTTGTTGGGATCCGATGCCGCAGCAGTCACCACCGTCGCCATCGAGTCGAGCTGCTCGTTGAGCCGCCCGCATGCCGCGTTCACAATCGCCGCCTGCTGCGGGTCCTGCTCCTGCGCCAGCGCCTGGGCCAGCGTTGCCAGCCGGCGGTTCTGCTCCTCGGCAACTGCCGCCAGCGCGTCAGCCTTGGCCACGTCGCCGGCCTTGACCGCCCGCGCCAGCTGCTCCATGGTGGCCTCGGCGTGAATCACCGTGTTGGCGTACTCCTGCTGCGGGTTCATCTCGCCGTTGAGCGTCGCCTCGAGCGTCGCGGTGCTCGCCTTGACCTGGTCAGCTGCGGCTTCGAGCGCCGCCACCGCACCCGCGTCGTCCGGCGCCGCCTGATACGCCGCATGCGCCTCGTCGAGGCTCGCCAGCGCCGCTTCAACCTCGCCAATGTTGGCCTCGGCCACAGACTTGGAGACTGCGTCGGCCCCAGCTGCCCGCGTCCGCGCGTTCTCCAGCACCCCGCCGTACTCGCGCTTGGCCTGCTTGGCGTACTGAGCCGCAACCTTGGGCTGGTGCTCCTTGGCGGCCTCGACCATGAGGTCGAGCGCGTTGGCGCCGCGCACCTGGTGGGCCGAGAACGCGGCTTCGGCAGACTGTGGCGCCGGCATGGCCAGCGCACGCTCGATGCGGTCCTGCGCATCGCGCATGGCCACAACAACTGTCGCCAGCTCGTCGCGCTTGGCTGCGTCGCTGGGGTCGGCCGCCGCCGCCGCCGACGCCGGGCCGGCGTTGGACGTCTCGGCAGTGAGGTCGGTGCACGCCGCACACGCCGCCTCGTGCGCCGCCGGGTTGCTCCCGAGCTTGGACTCGGCAACCTGGCGCCCAAGCTCGGCGTAGCGGGTGTTGAGATCCTGGATCTGTTTGGCATACTCGGCGGTAGTCGCAGGCTGGCCAGCCTCGGCCGACGCCTGCATTGCCTGGTAGGTGGCCTCGACCGCGGTCCGCAGCTCGGCCATCTCCTGCTCTGGCTGCAGCTCGCGCTTGAGCGCCGCGTCGACAACGCCTGCGTTGTACCGCAGCGCCTGGGTCAGCGCCCCGAGCGTGTCCTGGGTCGCCGTGTTGGCCGGCTCGCTCGCCGCGGCCACCGCCGCCGCCTCGAGCCCTTGCGACGCGGTCGCGATGTTCTGGGCTGCCACCTGCGCTCGCGCCGCCTTGCTCGGGTCGTCGACGTCGATCGACTGTGCAAGCTCGCCAATGCGCTGGTACTGGGCGGCGGCGTCGCTGGCGGCGACCTGGGCTTCGGCGGCGTCGCCGCGGCGGACTGCGGCCTCCATGGCGTCGAGCGTCCGCGGCGCGACGTCCAGCAGCTCGGCAACCTCCTCCTTCTCGGTCGGCTTGTTGTTGAGGTGGTGCTCGATGGCGGCCGAGTCGGCCTCGCAGGCCTCGACGGCGCGGGCGAGCTCAGTCTGGGCGGCGGCGTCGCCGGGTGCGGCAGCCGCGGCAGCCGCGGCCGGCGCCAGCACCTCGAGATCGGCCTCGAGCGCGTCGCAAGCCTCGAGAACGGCCTTGCGCTGAAGGAGCGAGTCCATGCCTGAGGCAGCTTCGCGAGCGAGTGCGATCTGGCGGCGGTACGCCTCGTCGCCCTGGCGGAGCAGCGCCATGGTGGCCGGCACATCGCCAAGCGCGGCCGCGGCAAGCATGCCGCCCATCGCGGCAATCGCCGCCTCGCGCGCCGACGCCATTGCCGACGCCTGGTTGGGCAGGTCCCGGCCGCGGACGACGCACTCGATGGTGTAGTTCTGGAACTTGATCTCCGAGATGGTGGCGCCGAGCGCGCGGGCTGCGGCCTGGTCGCTGGGTGCTGCCGCAGCAGTGCCCGCCTGCGACTGGAGCGGGGCGAGGAGCGGGCGAATACTTGCGATGGCGTCGCTTACGGCGCCTGCTTCGCGCGAGCCGGCCTCGAGCTCGCCGCTGGCGTACGTCGCCGCGAGGTCAAAGAGCGTCTCGTGCTTGGTGACGAGCGAAGTGGTGGCCAGCACCTGGAGGGTGGCCGAGCCGGCGGCGACGTTCGAGGAGAGGACCGTAAACTGGCCGGCAATGCGGTCGAGGAGCGCGAGGATACGGGCGTCGAGAGCCTCGTCGTCGACAAGGTACTTTTCGAGCTCGACGAGCTGGCTCTGGTAGCCCTTGGTGAGTGCCGCGAGGTGCTCCTTGGCTGGCCCGTTGCTTGGCTCCTGCAGAATGGTCGACGCCGCAGTGACAACCTGTGGAAGGTTGCGCTCAAGGATGCGGGTGACGGCGGTGATGCCAGTGACGATCGACTGCGCTTCGACGTAGTCGGACCACTGGCGGGCGCCGGTGAGCATGAGCTTCGACTGGCCACCCATGGACATCGAGGCCGAACGGAAGCCTGCAGCGTCGGCCGCCTGCGCAGCCTTGAACACCGAGGTCAGCTCGGTCGGCATGGCGCCGAGGGCCGACTTGGCCTGCAGCAGCAGCGCGTCCTTGACCACACCAGTGAGGGCAGCGGCGAGGCGCTCGAGCTCAGCTTGGGCCGAGCGAGCGGCGGCAAGCTTGGCCGACGAGTCCGGGTCGGCGCAGAGTGCGTTTTGCGCAGCCTTGGTCCGCGTCAGCGCGGCCTCGACCTCCTTGGCGAGCGTGAGAAGCTCGGTCTTGAGGGCCTGGTCGGTACAGGCGGCAGCGGCGGCGCGGGCGCGGGCGATGAGCTCGGAAAAGTCGGCGTCGAGCTGGGCCTGCGCGGCGGCGAGGGCGGCGGCGTCACCGGCGAGGGCGGCAGCGAGGCAGGTCCGCAGGTTCGACTGGATGGAGGCGAGGTTGAGCATGCGGGCGTCTTGGGCTGAGACCGTAGAGATCGAGGACATGCGGATCTGAACAACAGTGGCGATCTCCTGGATGGCGGCGGCCATGTCCGAGACGACAAACTCGCGGGTCTTGATGGCCGCGGCGCCCGAGGTCTGCAGGACCGACTTGTGGGAGGAGATGACGAGCGGGGCGTTGGTGCGAACAAGCTCGACGGCGGCAGAGAGCCGGGTGACGAGCTCGGGATGGGAGAGCTCCTCCAGGCGGGCGTTGGTGAGGCGGACAAGGGTGGTGGAGGCGGTGGAAAAATGCTGGGCGACAGAGAGAAAGTCCGACTCGACCGCCGTCTGGGTCACCATCTTGGTGAACTTGGCCGACTCCTGGCAGGCCTTGAGGATGCGGCGGACCTCCGAGTCGTTGGTCGCCTCCAGCAGCTCACGCATGCCATCGAGGATGACCTTGCACGAGGCGACCATGCCGTCGCGGGCGCCCGAGTCGTTGGGCGTGGCCAGAAGCTGCTGGCAGAAGCCGTCGAGCCGCTGCGCCGCGCCCTGGACCGAAGATGCCGCCTGCGGAAGCGCATCCTTCAGCTTGGCATCCCGTGAAGACTGCGCCATCTCCATGGCCACCTGCACCAGCGGCGTCGTTGCTCCGAGAACCATGCCCGAAAGCTCGGTCAGGTCAGGCATGGGAATGCCCTGCTCCTCACAGTCGGCCGAGAACACAATGAGCTGCGAGACCGCATCGGCCACAGGCTCCAGAATAGCATCCACTTGCACCATCTTGCGTGAGTGCTGCAAGCGTGTGTGAGACGTGTGTGGCGAGGGCGAGGGCGTGGAGGAGGGGAGGCCGGCAACGGCTGGCGTTTCACCTGTACTTGTTTCTGGCGAATCAGAGTGTGGAGGACGCTGCTTTTTCCACGACCTTTTTTTTTTGGTTGTCACGCGAGGGGGGGGGGGGGGAGGGGAAGGGGAAGGGGAAGGGGAAGGGGAAGAGGGGTGCGGAGAAATGGGGCGACGTGGACGGGGCGACGTGGGCGGGGCGACGTGGACGGGGCGACGTGGATGGGGCAACGTGGACGGGGCGAGGGGCGACGTGGGTGGAAGGGGTGTGGTGAGCAAGGATGTGCAAGGGGGGTCGGTCGGTCTGCGCTGCGCCTGTGTGTCGGCCTGCGAGTTCGCCAGGTATGTGTACGTGACGGCGTGTGCATGGCATGGAGCTGTTGGCTCGGCCACAGTCACTAGCCTCACTCCACTCCTCCTCACACTGTAGCTGTTGGACGACATGGTGATGCCGAGGGTGTTAGTGGTGGTGCTGGCGCTTGCGGCGGTGGTGGTGGCAGCGGAAGGCGACATGGGCGGTGGCCGGCAGCGGTGGGCCATGCCGTGGATGTGCTTGGAGCGGTGCTCGGAGCCGGTGGCGGCAAACCTTGCCGAGATGGTGGCGCATGCGACAGAGCTGGGCGCGGTCTCATTCGAGGCCTTTGATCTGGGTAGCTCGGCGAACCTGATCAACAACTCGTTCTCAGTGGTGGCGCCTGCTCTGGCGAGCGCCGGGCTGGAGACCTTTCCCATGATCACGACGGTGGAGATCGAGTGGATGCGCAAGGTCTTTGCCTCGCCAGACGGCTTTATTGCGCAGGCTGTGGCTGCCGGCAAGGCTGGCGGCTTCACCGGCTACAACATCGACTTTGAGCCGACAGCGCCGACGACCCATGACGATGGCCTCGCCTTTGCCGCCTTTCTCTCGCGCTTTGCCGACGCGCTTCACGCCGAGGGCATGCGGCTCTCGGTTGACGCCGCGCAGTGGTCGTATGTGTGGAACTACACGGCGCTTGGCGAGTCGCGGGTCGACACCGTCTTTACTATGGCCACCTACGCCGGCGAGTGGTCCGCGTTTGAGACTGCTCTCGAGACTGCAGTGACCCAGGTTGGCGTCCGCAAGCTCGGCGTCGGTCTCATGACCACCAACCCGACCACCGGCCAGCCGCTCACTCCCGCCGATCTTGAGCGCCGGTTTGCGGCCATTGCCGCCAAGGGCGTGACCCGCATTGGCATCTGGGACGCGCCGCTCGATGCGGCATGGTGGCCGCAGCTGGCCAAGTGGCACGGGACGGCGTGACCTCGCAGCTTCCTTCTACTTGATAAACATGAGCATCTCGCGCTTGCCAAAGTTGCCCTCGTTCGTCAGCCGCGAGCAGGCCGTAAAGCCGATGGTGTCGAGGAGAAGGCGTTCGAAGCCATCTGGACGGAGTTGCAGCGTGTGGATGACGTCCGAGAGCCCCGGGAGGAAGCGGCAGCGCTTGCGGTACGATGACCACGGCTGCGGCTCGAGAACAAAGACCGAGCCCGGCCCGTCGAGCAGGTCGTAGACGAGCTCAAAGAAGGAGATCAGGCCGGCGTCGCCGTGATGGACGTGGATCCACTTGCTGACCGAGAGCGCAAGGACAACGCCAAACTTGGTCTTGCCACGCTGGACGGCCGACGATGACTTGACGTCTTGCGAACGCAGCTTGCGCTCGGGCATGACGTAGGCCTGAGGCAGCAGTGCCGACGGCACCGGCTTGCCGGCGGCGACCGCCATGATATCACAGCAGGCAAAGCGAGCGTTTGCCGCCAGCTCCGGCTCCATCTCACGCAGCCGCTGCCTAGCATGCGCAATAAGCCGCTGGTCAACGTCGATGCCGAGCACGCTTGCCGGGCCGTGCGAGGCGAGGAGCTTGAGCGTGAGCAAGCCCGAGTTGCACCCGATGTCCAGCAGCGACTTGCCGGCAACCGCCGAGACCGGGATCAGCTCCGGCCGCGCATCGGCTGCGCCATCGCGATAGCTTGTCTTGTAGTACCCGCGGTAGTTGCCGTACGCGTTTGTCGCCTGCTTCTTGCTCTTCCCTCTGCCTTTGCCCGACCCCTGCCGCTTCGTCCGGCATCGCCGCCGCCGAGTCCCTTGCGCCGCTTCCTGCTCGGCCCTGCCTCGTCCGACTCGCTCCTGGTCTGTCTGCTGCCCGCCTGCGCCGCCGCCACGCTCTCGCCCGCAGCCTCCACCTTGCCCGACTCGTCGTCTCCGGCACAGCCAGCAGCTCGCACCTCGTCGCCTGCGGCAGCCATATGCCCAGCCAGCTCGGTGCGATTCCGTATCAGCCGGGGAAGGATCGCACGCGTGCAAGAGGTAGGACGAGGGAGAGAGAGAGAGAGAGAGAAAGAGAGAGAGAGGTGGCCTCCAACTCATGGCCCTGACCATGGCCCTGGCCATAGCCCTGGCACTGGCACTGGCCCTCCCCTCCAACCCCTCCCGCCCCGCTGGTGGTGGGTAATCCAGGGACACCACCAGGAACAGAGCAAGACCAATGGCTGGCCATCCCCTCCCCCCCCCCTCCCCTCCCAGCACACCCACCACTCGATGCCCCCCCATGTCCACCGATGAGCCAGCGATGAGCCAGCGATGAGCTATCCCTCCCCCCCCTTCCCTCTCGCCCACTTACTCCTGCCCATCCTCCCCTCGCCACCCCCCCCCTCCCCTCCCCTCCACCCACCCACACACCACTACGCCCCTCCACCCACCCACACCCCCACCCACCCCCAACCCCCACACACCCCAACCCCTCCCTCTGCCTACGTCAACATGAGCTGCGAAGAGGGCGACGGCTGCTTCGAGCCTGTCTCTCTGTTCTGCGTCACCAAGGCCTCGGTCGTAGTCACCGCTGTTGGCAAGCACCTTGTGGCCACCTTTGGGTACGCCCTCGCTGTCCCCCCTGTGCCCTCCTCCCTGACCATGTGCCCCTCCTCTGCTACCACCCTCCCCCCTCTCACTCACACCCACCCCCCCCATCCCCCCCCCCCCCTCTCCCCCACACCCTCCCCACACCCCCTCGTGCCCTCCTGCCCCCCATCCCACAGCGAGACAACGACCGGGACGACGACGACGGCCGAGTCGCACCCGCACGGCAAGCGTGTGGTGGCCATGGCAGCGACCGGAGAAGGCGATGTGCTGGTCTCGGTGGCTGCGGATAAGAGTATTGCGGCGTGGAAGCTGCCGGCGCTGGAGCTGCTGGCCACGTCGGCCGTCGACCGCAAGGCCTCGGGCGTGGCGATCTCGCCCGACGGCAGCGAGGTGGTGGTGTGCGACAAGGTCGGCGACGTCTTTGCCTTTTCGCTGCCGGGCCTGGTGCGGAGGACAGACATGGGCGAGGCCGATCGCGGACACCGCATTGTCGGGCACGTGTCGATGGTGACCGATGTGGCCTTTGTGGCCGCGCCCGACGCTGCGCCGGCCTCTTCCTCGCCTCGGCCGACCGCGATGAGAAGGTCCGCCTCTCCGAGTACCCCAAGTCGTACAACATTGCTGAGTACTGCCTCGGTCACACCCAGTTTGTGGCCTGCCTTGCCACCGTCCCGGGCGCGCCGCTGCTGATCTCTGGCGGTGGCGACGGGAACGTGGCCGTGTGGCGGGTTCCGACGGGCGAGCAGGTCGGCCCCATGCTCCACGCCATCTCCGGCACTAAGCCGACGCCTCTTGCCGTCCACAACCACGACATGGCCTCCGGCGAGCCGTTTGTGCCTGTCGGCCACTGCACCCACACCGATCCCGAGTCCGACTCGATGGTCACTTGCGTCGCCGTCGCTCCCGACGCAGCCCTCGTCGCCGCCATCGTCTCGGGCCATCCGACCGTCTACCTCTTTGCCATGGACTCGGCCGCAGGCCTCGCTCCCGCCGGCTCTGTCGAGCTCGGCGGCGCGACCCTCCCCGACGGCACCGTCCTCGCCGCCGACGTCCAGCCGCTCAGCGTCACCTTTGACGCCGCCGGTCGCCTCTGGACCTCGCTCTACACCGACGCCCCGGGCACCCCGCTGATGGCATGCTTCGAGCGCCCCGAGCCCAACGCGCCCATGGCCCACGTCGCCGCCGACTCGCCCATCGCCGCCACCCTCGCCGCCATCGCTGTCGCCGCCTCCATCCCGCGCGACTTCCAGGCCGGCCAGGACCCTCTCTCGGTTGGCATCCCGCTCAACCAGCTCCGTAAGCGCAAGAAGGTCCACTCGCCCACCGACCGTACCAAGCGTGTTGCCGCCCGCGCACCCTCTACCGTCCTCGCCGCCGCCAGCACTTCAACCAACTAGCCCCCCCCCCGCGTGCGCCGCCGTCACCACCGATCCCTAAATCACCATCGTCATCCCCCACCAGCCCCCCAGCCCCCCCTCCCCTCCGGGTCCCCATCGCTGTTTCCTCCAGTCGCAAAAAAAAAATGGAAAACACCCCCCACCCACCCCTTCCCTGCCCCGTTTTTTTATTCCATCCTTCCCCCCCCCCCCCAGCGCCGCCCACCACCCCCGCCCACCCAGCGGGACCGGCCCGCCACTGCGACCAGGGCACACACCTCACTCGCATTGCAACACCATGGCAGATGTTCGGTCTGTCCGGCTCCCGGCCACGTCTGCACGACTGAATGCGGCGCCTGCGTCGACGGAGCTCGGCTGGTTCGAGACGGCTCGGCGCGACGGTGACGCCGTGGTCGACCTGCGGCCGGGCGACTCTGTGGCGTGGGACAACATCACGGTGCCGTCGCAGGCGGTGTGGGATGTGTATGTCCACTACCAGCCGCTGGTCGACGAGCCAATCGAGGTCAGTCTGACGTTCAACGACCGCTTTGACCGGGTGGTCGCCCTCCGCGGCCGCCGCCGCGACGAGCTCATTGCCCACTCGCTCTCGCGGGCCGCCATCAACAAGCGCATCGCCAAGCACCGGACCGAGCTGGAGAACGCGCGCCGCGCCCGCGCTGGCTTCTACCTCGACCACAAGGACTACTTTGACGTCCATCCGGGCAACTTTGACGAGGTCACCACCGACTGCGACAACTCGGCCTCGTCCGACGACGACAACATCTCAGACCCGGCCTCGCTCTTCTCCGCCGACCCGTCGTCGTCGTCGTACTCCTCGTCCTCCGCCTCTGGCTCTGCCGCCGACCGCTCCTCGGCAGGCTCGTCGTCGCTCACCGCCACAGACGGCACAGAGACCGCAGAGGACGGCCGCTACAACGCTCAGACTGCGGACTCTTCCTGCGCCGGCGATGACGCCAACACCAAGAAGTCGCGCTTTGGCTTGTCCAACCCGTTCTCGAAAAAGGCCAAGGCTGCCAAGGCGAACAATGGCACCGACGCCGACCCCGCCGCCGCCGCCGCTCCTGCTGTTGCTCCTGCTGCCGCCGACGTGCCTTCCAAGGACGCGCCCGCGGACACCACCCCGCTGGCCGAGGCTGCTTCGCTCGGCACTGTCTCGACCTCAATGGACTCGGATGAAGACTCTGAGTCGACCTTGGCCTCGTCCTCCTCCTCTTCCGCTTCCTCGTCCTCGTCCTCGTCCTCGTCCTCGTCCTCGCCCTCGCCGCTACCCTCTCAGGCACCACTGCCGACGAAGAGCAGGAGTTTGTCACCGAGACAAAGGACGAGACGGCGCCAAAGGCGCAAGCGACACCGCACTCGCAGGCGGAAGGCACCGGGATGACGGCCACGGTCAACAATGCCTTCTCGCGGTTTGGTGCGACTGCACTGGACGTGACCGTCGACACCACCGACGCGATCTTTGATGCTGCCACCGGAGGCTTCAACGACGACGACTACCTGGATGTGGAGGCGCTCGCCCAGCGCCAACGGATGGGTGCGGCGACAACGCCCGAAATGACTCGGCGCCGCTACCGGGTGGCCTCGTTCCGGCTCACTGCCGGCGTCCACAACCTCGAGCTGGCGCTCAACGGCTTTGCGGGTGACTCGCACCCACGCATGCACCTAGTGGGCGTCATCCTCCGCCCGCGTGAGCTCCTCGCCGAAGCCGACGTGCTCGGCGACGACGGCGAGATCATCGAGTTTTCCGAAGGCGACGAGTTTGGCCAGCTTGTTGTCGCCAACGACAAGCTCCGCGAGAACGAGGCCGTCTCAGGCAAGCTTCTTCTCGCCATGCTCTGCTCGGTCCCGCTCACCGCTGTCATCTTCTCCACGCTCTTTGCTTTTGCCGCCTACGGCTTCCTCTGGCGCGAGGACGGGTGGTCGCACCACCAGTGGGCGGTCACCGCCCTGTACGTCTTCCTCGGCGCGCTCTTTGTGCTTGACGTTGCTGTCTTTGCCATTTCTCGGTTCATCTACGCCTCGGTGGCGCACTTTGCGGTCATCACCGGCGTTGTCGTTGTCCAGCTTCTCCTGCTCATGATTCCGACGCTCGTCGTCTCCATCATTGCCATCCACAAGGAGGACAATCCGTCGCGGCTGGTGGTGGCCACCTTTACCACGCTCGTTCTCGTCTCGATATACCTTGTCTCCTCGCTCTGCGTCTACATTCTCGGCGGCTCCGAGTCGACGCGCAACGAGAACACGGCCGAGAGGGCGTCGAACAACGTGGTGGCCCAGACCGGTGAGCAGTTTGAGCACACGCGGCGGGCCCGCAGGATCAACCTCACCGCCAACTCGGTCCTCGAGTTCAAGTCGCTCTTTGCCTCGCTCTTCCAGAAGCGCTTTGTCGACCGGACCACCTTTAGCTTTGACATCCTCAACCTGCTCTTCACCGGCGCCCTCATTGTCGAGTTTATGCAGCTTGTCAACCTTGCCATCATTCCCTCCATCCAGTCGACCGGCGCACAGACGACTCGCGACGTCACGGCCTTCTCCACGCTCAACTTTACCGACTTTGCCGACAACTTTTCGCTCGACTTTATCACCACCTTTTACGCCGTCATCGGCTTTGGCGTCGTCCTCTTCTTTGTGCGCCTCTTCCTCGAGCGGTGGGATAAGTTCAACGCGCTTGATGAGCTGGCAGATGCCGTCATCGGCCTTGTCTACGTCCCGCTCTTTGGCATTCTCTTTGCCGCTCTTGACTGCACCCAGAACACCGAGCAGGCGCGCTGGACCTTTGACGCCGAGGAGAACGCCGACGGCTCGCCTTCGACCTCCATCTCGTGCTACCGCGGTGACCACCGGCACTACATCTGGTCCGCTCTCATCGCCGCCATGTTCTTCCACATCGGCTTCTCCACTTTCCTCTCGCGCCAGACGCTCAAGGTCGAGGAGGGCAAGCTGCGGTACTACCCGGCTATGAAGCTCCTCTCGCTCCAGTTCAAGCTCTTCCTCGTCCTCGTCACTACCTTTTTCTCCTCGTTTGAGTGGGCGTCGCTCGCCACCCAGCTGATCACCAACCTCGGCCTCCTCTACCTGCACCGCATCTACGGGCCGACTACCGTCCCGTTCTTCAACATTGTGCGGACGTTCATGATGTTTGCCGCCCTCGCCGCTAACGTCGTCGCCTTCCTCGGCTACGGCCTCACTGAGGACAACGAGACCTCTGGCTTCCTCGGCCTCCTCCCGGCCATCGTCATCCTCAGCATCTGGCTCATTCTCTTCTGTCTCATGATCTTTGTCCTCTACCGCCTTTACTCGCGCGGCAACATCTGGTGGTTCTACCACCCAAGCGCTACCAGGCCCGCAAGAAGACCATTGCTGTTCGCGCAAAGTCGTCGGTCGACCACGAGGCCCTCCTCCGCAACGCCACCGACAACTACCACTACGAGTACGACTACGTCGGCGACGACTCGGTCGTCGACTCGATCGACATCAAGTCGCGCGACTCGGACGATTCGTCAGCCTCGTCGGGGGCGTCAGCCTCGTCGGGGGCGTCAGCCTCGTCGTCGGCCTCGTCGCCGACTTCGTCGTCGGCCTCTTCGTCGGCCTCGTCATCGTCGTAAAGTCTTTCTCTACCTTTCGCTCATGAGCGCAATGAGCTGTTCTCCCGTCTGGATGCTTCCGACGACCACCAGCTCGTCCATGGCCACTGCGTGGACAAAGGCCGGCTCCATTGCCAGCAGTGACAGCGCCTTGACTAGAACCAGAACATCCGGCGAGAGGAGGAGCGAGGTCCACGACTCGACCCGACCGTGCTCATCAGAGTGCAGGATAAAGTAAAGTAGCCGGGCCAAGTCCTTGCCCATGGCCCGCGAAGCGCCGGGCGTTCTCTCGTACCGGTCAAGGCAGACAAAGTGGGCATCGACGAGCGGGAGCGGGCCGTTGTTGCCCTCGTCGCTCGGCCCACCCGCCGCCGCGTTTTCCGGCAGCTCGGTCAGTCGGGTTGTGACGGCGTACTGGTCAGCGGCGCCAAAGAGGCTCGGATGCGAGAGCTGGTTGAGATAGACCGTCACCACCCGCTCCACGTCCGAGTCCGCTACTGAGGCCAGCGCCCCGAGCGCTGCGTACAGCTTGGTATGGGCGTGACTGAGGCCTGCAAACGGAGTGAGCCCAAGGACAATGATCGCCAACTCGTCGTCAAGCCGCGCTCGCAGCACGACATGTGAGCTGCCGGGTGCCGAGACAAGATCGGCCACATGTACCTGGCTCACCGCCTCGGGGAGAAGCCCATCCAGGAGCGATTGCAGCGGACCGAGCGCGAGACCAAAAGCATGCGCAAAGACAAGCGGCGAACGGAGCGAGAGCGTTGCTGCCACCTTGAGCGTCTCGACACCAATAGCACCAAGCAGAGCGGCGCCCGAGAGCTCTGACACCGTCTTGGAGAACCGGGTCACCCGTTTGCGGAGGTCGGCAAGCCACGGCTGTGCGCGATGGCCCAGCGCGGAGAGCGCTCCGGCCCCAGCGTCGGGGTACGCCAGCTGTCGCGAGGCCGCAGTGATGCGCTGCAGCGACGACGACCGCTGCGGTGTGAGGGTCGGTGGCGGCGCCGACCCACGCGTACCACTCTCGGTCGACCGCGCGGAAATGGGCGAGATGCCGATCGGGGGCAGGACTGGGACGGCCGACGGGAACGGTGAGCCTGGCACAAGCTCGCCACTTTCGCCGGTGCCATCCAGAAGCGAGGAGGCCACGGCCGGTGCGGCCGGCGCCGGCGAGGTCTTGTACACCACCTTGAGCCGTAGCGCGCCGGTGGCCATATCCGGCAACGCGGCGGTCTGCTGCGCCTCGGCCGGGAGAACGAGGCGAACGAGGTCGTCGATGGTGGTGCCGGCAGCGTTGATAAACTTGATGAGCTCGATAGAGAAGGTGCCGAGCAGTGACTCGCCTAGCGAGTCGGTGTCGTAGACCCGGCCGACAAGCGCGCCATACCGCGGGAGCGTCGAAAACACGTGCGTCGAGCCCCACGAGGGATTGACGACCTTGGCCACAGACGGCGTGGCGTGGCTCTCGCGCTCGCGACCGTTGCCATCGGCGACCGCGAGCACAACGTGTCGATTGCCGCGGAAGCCGAGCGAGACACCGAGGGACTTGGACGAGACGACGCTGACCACGAGATGGCCGGATACCATCGAGTCATCGAGGAGAATGGAGCCAGCAAAGGCTGTCGGCCGAAGAGCTGCGCCGGTCGTGCGTGCTGGCGGGCCGCCGGCCCGAGCCGGGCGAGCCGCGGTGGCGGCAGCGGCCGCCCACTCGAGGCCGAGCTGTAGAGATGGCACCGTCGGGCGGAGCCGCGAAGGTGACCGAGCCGAGACCTTGGCCGGCGACGACGCTGCTGCTGGTGGCGGATGAAGAGCATACCACTCGGAGGCGACCCGCAAGCGGGCCATCAGCGGCCGCAGCGAGAGCGAGGTTGCGCCGAGAACAGCTGGCGGCGAGACCGAGGTGTTCAGCAGCTGGAGATGAAGGTACGAGGCGGCTGAAGCCTCGGCCGACGGCATGCTGAACTCGAGGTGCGAGCCAAAGTGTGGGGCATGCGACGGCATGGCGGTCCGAGTCGTACCAACCGCGTCACGGTCTGTTGGCTTTGGCAGCTCAGTGCCGGCGCCGGCGCCGGCGGTCCGAGTTACCCACGCCTCGACCTTGGTGGTGGGGAAACCGATTTGTGTCGGCACAACGTGGTTGGCGGCGTGGATGTGGACGATGACCTTGCCCGGCCCGGCGTGTGTGGCAGCGGCGAGCGCCTTGACGGCGGACGGGTCGGGTGCGTAGCGGAGCTTGACGAGGACCGAGCCCGAGGGGAGGAAGGCCGAGGGAGAGGGTGGAGCGTCGGAGGCAGGCGCGTCCATGGGTCCAAGCGGGAGCCAACGCTTGATCTCCTCGCCGTCACTGTGGACAACGAGTGCGGCGGCGGAGGAGGTCAGCTCGGCGAGGTCGAGCTGGGCCTGGCCGAGGAACTGGCGACGCATGGTGTCCTCGTCAAAGAGGCGGAAGAGGAGGGTAGAGTCCGGAACGTCGACGGCAAAGCGGAAGGTAGCATTCCACACCGGATTGCACGACCGCGGTACGACATCAGTCTCAAACGAGACAATGCCTGAGGTGGCGGCAGCGATCTCGGGCGAGACAGCGGCGGTACGCGAGGCGTCGAGCGGTGGCGAGTCGGGATGCAGGAGAAAGACGACGGCGAGCGGGTCCGAGGTTCCGCTGGAGTCTCGGGCGGCGAGCTCAACGGCGTTGACAACAGTGACGTAGAGCGTGCCGGGCACAAAGTGGGACTTGGTAGATGCGGGCTCGTCGGGAGCAAACTTGAGGTCGTTGGTCCGGCCGGGCTGCGGCGAGGGCGACGACGTAGGCGAGGCAAGATTCAAATTGGAGGGAGCGCCAACGAGGGTGCCCGACGCCGAAGCCACCATGCCTGTCTCGGGCGCCCAGTCGTAGAGAACGGTGAGGGTGGGTGCGGCGGCAGCAGCAGCGGCCTTGGGGACTGACGGCGGGATGCGCAACTGGTAGACTTGCTTGGACCGGCCACGGGCGTTGCCGAGGACGTCGGTGGTGAGGGTGACGACCGGCTCGATGACAAAGGCGAGGAGGTCGCGGGTGTTGCGGTCCTTGTCCCACAGTCGAAAGACAAGAAACGATGACGGCGAGTCGAGTTCCAGCTCAAACGTCTGGTCCCAGACCGGCTCGAGCGACGAGGCGATGGTCCGAGTAGTGTGGGTGAGCGTGATGGCGGATGGGGCCACGTTGCCGTCCACAGAGGACGGGAGTTGAGTGACAAGGTGCATCTCACAGTACGGGTCTGACATGCCGCGGTAGTCCATGGCGGGGAGGCCTGCAGCAGAGAGGATGGTGACCCTGAGCAGGCCGGCGCGAAAGGCGAGGGTGGCCGGGTGCGGCAGGTCAGTCCGCGACGAGTCTGCAGACGATGACGATGCTGCCGAGCTGCAGTCGGGCTCACCGGCGAGGGTGAGGCCGATGACGAGCGAGAGCTTGCCAACGGGGGCAACTGGCGAGGAGTCTGCCTCAAAGTCGCGGTCATCGTCGCGGTCAAATGCGGCGAGCGGAAGGATGTCGAGCCAGCCGTCCCACTCGCCGCGGACGCCCGGCAGTGGGTGCGGGAAGGCGTCAAGGAGCGGGAGGACGACCCAGCCAATGGGAAAGATCTTGCCTGCGGTGTGCGAGTGGTGGAGGACGTGGAAAAGGATGGCCTTGCCGTCGACGTGGGTGGTGGCAAACTCGAAGCGCTCGTCGTACGACGGCGCCCACGAGGCGGCGACAGTGGCGGTCTCGTAGACGTGGGAGACGACGTTGGACGAGCCCGGCTCGAGCAAGGTGTCAACGAGCATGCCAGCGCGAGTGGAACGGACGAGGTGGAGGCGGATGGAGGCATGGACGGCGCCGTCGCGGAGCTCCGAGGCAGCCGATGCCGGCGGCTCGCGCAGGCCGCGGGCCTCGCGGACGTGCACGTCGATGATGGCGGCGCGCATGGCGACGGCACGGGCAAGCCCGGGGCCCGGCGGTGGCGGCAGCTTGGGCTCGGGCGTCGAGCGCGGGAGAGCAGCAAGGACCGGCCCGAGGTGGGCGGTGAAGACGGAAGTGAGCGCGGCGCGGGCGGTCGGCGAGAGGCCGGCGACGGCGTCGACGACAGCAGAGGTAGGCGAGCGCGAGGTGGGGGGCGGCGGGAGGCGGAGGGCGGGCGGCGAGTGGACGATGTGTGCGGCGGCGATGAGGGCAGCGGCAAGGCCGACAAGCGGGGCGGTAGCGAGGTCGACAGACGCGGCCGGATCGGGGCGGGAGTCCGGCAGCTCGCGCGGGAGCGGGCGCGGGAGGGTGTGAAGCCAGGGGCGCAGGTGGGCAGCGGCGGTGGACGCGGCGGCAGCAAGCAGGGCGAGGTGCGGTGGCGGGTCGGCGAGGGCCGGAGCCGCGTGCGGGGCCAGCGGCGAGGCGAGGGGGAGGGCGGCGGCGAGGTCTACCAGGAGGGTGCCGTCAGCAAGGGCGGCGAGGACGCGGCCGGGCGTGGCTGCGGTTGGCGTCAGTGGCGAGGGGACAAGGCCGAGGACTGTGGCGATGGCGAGGGCGGCCTCTGCACAGTGGTCTGCCAGGGTGGGGGGGGGGGGGGGGA